ACTACAACAAAAACAACAACTACAACAGCAAATACAACAACAACAACGACAAACACAAACAAAAAGAAAAAGAAACGGCCAAGATCACCAAACAGTTCAATGGAAATCTCGGCAACAACCAACAAAGACCTCAAGACTAGTAATAAAGATGCTTAGGCTATGCCACATCAATATCACTAGTATCAAGAAATACAAAGATGAACTACTCGCTCGTTTTTCTAACCAAGACATCATTTCTGTGAATGAAACTAATCTAGAGAAAGACACTGCGTTTTATCTCAAAGGTTACAACATTTACAGAAACGATCGAGTTGGACAAACGGGTGGAGGAGTTCTTCTAGCTGTCAAAGAGAACATCAAATCCCGTGAATTAATCAACAAAACGATCGACAACAACGAAATTGTTGCAATTGAGATTGAAACAAAATCGTATGGTCGCATTCTTATTGCGTCAATTTATGTCCCACCAAAAGCAAAAATTGCTCCTGAAGTGTTTCGCGATCTTCATCAAATCAATAACGACTGTATTGTGATGGGCGACCTGAATGCAGCGTTAGAAGAGATGGGATCACGGAAAACAAACAAGAAGGGCAAACAACTGGAGGACATTATTAATGAAGGTTTCCTCATTGGTATCGATGATAACAGTACAACATTTGAACGTAACCAATACGAAGAAAAGCTCGATTGGATATTAGCCAGTCAACCACTTTTCTCGTTTATTTCGGAATACGAAGTTCAACCAACATTAGGCTTATCAAGTGGTCATAAACCCATTATCTTCAATTTGTCTCTTGAAGCAGAATTGAAACCTCTATCTCCTAGGGCTTCATTCAACTTCAAAGCAGCAAACTGGAGCAAGTTTAGGTCCAAACTTGATAAACACCTCAAATGTTGGAACAATGTACAATTATCGAACATGGTAGATGTAGAAGAATATGCATCCTTCATCACAAACTGCCTGACAAAAGCAACTAACGAAACCATCCCAATGAACAAACATCGGATATCAACATTTACAGTGAGTGAAGCAACTAAACGTCTGATACAATTGAAACATCAATCATATCGACGTTGGAAGAAAACCGTTGAACAAGAAGACAAACAACGGTACTATAAATACAAGTTGCTGTTAACAAACTCGCTAAGGAATGACAGAAGAAGTTACTTCAAACAACTGATGTCATCCTTATGTCAAAAACAAATGTATTCTGATGCAGTATGGTTAACCGTTAGAAAATTCCACAACAAACGTATCAAACAAACATATTCTGGTGTAATGCAATACAACAATACGATGGCAACAACTAATGTCGAAAAAGCAGATCTCTTTGCCGATTATTTCGAGAAAGAGGTTTACTTTGAGACAGAAGACGTTGAACCGTATCATAGTTACATTACACACAAAACCAACATTGTTAAACAGAATATGTACAACAAAATAGGACAAACACCA